CCTTTCACAGTAGACCATGCATTTACTATTTGCCCCCAGTCCCCACTGTCTCTACTAGGAAGGGATCTCCTATGTAAAATGGGAGCTACCATAACATGTGGAAAACAGGGGCTGCAATTGGAAATCCCAGGAAAAGGCACACGCAAGACAATCATGCTGATAACCAGCAACACAGGACTCCATGAAGATTTAAAAAGCCTGCCACCCTCCTTATGGGGCTGGGATACATCAGAAGTGGGACTACTTAAAGGAGACACACCTCTCTTGGCCACAAGTGCTCCCAATTGCCCTCTTTTATTTCAGAACCAGACCAAGGCAAGATATAGGTATTCCCCCCCCCCTTTGAGATCCTTTTTGGTCACCCCCCCATACCCTACTAGGATCCTCATTCCCTTTGCTTAGATAGGGGGGATAGGGTTTTCTCTTCTTATCTTACAGCCCTGCAAAAGAGACTACAAACCCGCTGGATCCAGAGTGCACTGACACAGACCTTACCCCTGGAAGAAGCCCTGCATCCATATGAGCCAGGAGATTGGGTGTGGATCAAGTTCTTCACCAGAACCTCCCCTCTACAACCCAGGTGGAAACGACCCCACCAAGTTTTACTGACTACACACACTGCCATAAAGGTTTGCAGAATGAGACTTTTGGCTACATTGGACACATGCAAAGCCAGCAGTCATAGACCATAGCCAAACTCCACCACAATCAATCCCACCCATCAAACTCAAGAAAGATCGGGACACAGATCAATGGACGCTTGCAGCATTCTTCAACACTGTTGAACCACACCACTGTGAGGAACCAAGTGCAAAGGTTGCATTACACAAAACTGGACTCTCAGGTGCTGAGTTATAAACTATTTTTTTTAAATTTTTGTCTCACCTTCTCCATTTTTTCCTTTTTTTAAAACCTTTTTTCATCGTGTTTTTTTTTAACAAAAAGGACTTTACTCATAATTTTTTGATACTTGACCTTTTACATTTTTTTACATTGCTAGTAAAAAAAAAAGAGGGGGGGGAGGAAGGGAAGAAAAGGAATCTAACAATGGGGAAAATGAAATGCAATATATTCTATGTATTATGTATTATTATTATTTTCTGTAATAATTGTAACATTTGTAACACAAGAAACTGCGCTCCTGGAACCAAAGCTTATCCCAGAGAAAGGAAAACATATGGGAATGTTTAGCAAGAGAACTTTTGCTTAGCAGAAGGGAAATCATAATGTCACTGGGTGCAGCACACCTAGGGTCACAGAATACACCAGTCTTAGCAACACAGAACTAAAATGCAACTATACAGAGACCATATCATTTTCATATAGTTAGCTGAAGCTCCCACCAGGATGGTTTTTCCTTTGTGGCTTAAAAGCCTACTCATACCTTCCTGCAAATGCCACAAATAGCCCCTGCACCTTGGGAAGGTTAACCATGCTTATGCCATCCTTACAGAGACGACACAGGAGAGCCTTCCAAACCCTAGACTCAGACTGTGATTCCAAAGTCTCCCTTCCCACAAAAACAGAATACATCTCATTGGCAATATTCTTGGTAGGGGTACCTGGATTGGCAGTGCAAAATTCTAAAAATTTGAATAGACTAGCATGTACCCTGGCAAAAAGCTTGAATTTGACCTCCCATGCCCTGGATGCCCTTAACAGAGAACTGAGGGAGGTCAGAGAAGCCACCTTGGAGAATTGGGCAGCAATAGGCTTCCTTCTCTTGAAGTATAACTATGGCTGCGAAAAATTCCAAGGGATGTGTTGCCTCAATCTGGATGAAACCTCAGAACTCGTAGGGAGGGACATCCACCACCTGAAAGAGCTATCTCAGAATATTGGTCAGGAGCAATCATTCCTGGACTTTTCATGGCTCTTCTCATGGATGCCAGATTTCCATTGGCTCAAAATCCTCATAACAACCGCAGTCAACATTTGTGTCTTTGGAGCCCCCATGTGTTGCCTCTGTCTGTGTACCACCCTGCCTTAGCTGCCTAAAGGCCTGTATTCCCTCTCAGAGGAGAAAATCAAAGGGAAGACAGGCAGCTATGATAATGATCCAGATTGATCACAAATAACCAGACATTCAATCAGAGACCACCCTTTAAAAAAAATAAATAAATGAAGGATTGTGGAAAGGGAACTTCATGAGGACAGTGGTGATACCCAAGCAGGAAGAGCCCAAAGGGAACATCAGGCTAGCCATAAAAGCAAACTTGCATAGGAAAAGAGATTTGATAAAAGGTATTGGAAGAAGCCCCCTAGACAAAAGCCAAGTAATTAAAGCTAGGGAAACAAGAAAAATGAATCCCTTACAAACAAAAGGCCATGCCAAATCAGCAAAACAAATAAGACAAAAGACCCATAGCAGACAGGAGATTGCCACTAAACAAATATAAGAAATGAAACTAATAATCCAATCAAACCACCCTGCAGAGTTTACCCCTGATGGAAATGAAGACAACCCCCCCCTGACAGGATTTAAGCACTCACACACAAAAGGAGAAAAGGTATAAAAATCAGGAGTTTATTACACAAAGCTGGCTAGCCCCAGGAACGCAAACTTCTTGCTATCTTTTGCCTTCCTGAAAATTAAAGAAACTTGCTTCCAGGTAGCTGCCTCTGTCTGTGTCCTTACTCTGAAAGCACTCCCAGCAGGAAAAAAGAACCCTTGGAAGAAAGGCATTTGCCAGCCTTTCAACAGCTTCATGCTGACACAGATGGGGTAGAGGTAGATGTGGGCTTGTAGTCAACATAGTTTTCCAAAGAGTCAGGGACATTCCAATGGCTGGCTGGTGAGGAGGAGGAGAAGAGATATAACCAGGTAACCAGCTAGTATCCAGATTGTACAATGTGATTTATTGTTTTGGGGAAAAAGGAAATGTTTACTTTTTAATGTGGTAGAAAGCGTGGAACAAGTATAGTATATGTGGTATTGCTCAATAGCTGTAACTGAGAGAGGTATCTTGGAGTTCTAGTTGACAACCATTTAAATATGAGCCTGCAGAGTACAGCAGCTGCCAAAAAAGCTAATGCAATCCTAAATTGCATTAACAGAGAGAACGAATCAAAATCATGTGAAGTATTAATACTGCTTTATAAGGCCTTGTTAAGGCCACACTTGGAACATTGCATTCAGTTTTGGTCACCATGATGTAAAACAGATGTTGAGACTCTAGAAAGAGTGCAGAGAAGAGAAACAAAAATGATTAGGGTTTGGTTATCGACGATAGAAGCGTTTTCTTATCCTATAATTTATAAAAAGGAACAAACAGTTAGATATGGGGAATTACTAGATGAAAAGGGTGAACTTAAATCGATACAAAACTTAGAGGAACAAGGTATACAGATGAATTGGTTTTCATATGTGCAAATACACTCAAGGTATGAGGAGGATTCCAAAACAGAGGGATTTTATGATAAACAGACTGATTTAGATAAGATTTTGATGGGTACTGATGAAAAGGTGATTAAAAAGCTATATGGTTACTTATTGGAAATTAAGCTAGAGGAAGAACAAGTTAAAGAAACTATGATTGCTTGGGGGAGGAATTTTGGATACGGGATTGACTTAGAGAAATGGCAGAAATTATGGTTGCAAAACTATAAAATGACAATGTCCACAGCCTATAAAGAAAACTTGTATAAGATGTTTTACAGGTGGCATTTTCCCCCGACAAGGATAGCAAGAATGTTCAAGAACAAATCGGAAAAATGTTGGAAATGTCATCAGAAACCTGGTTCATACTACCATATGTGGTGGACTTGTGAGGATGCTAGAAAATATTGGACTAAAATCCGCATGTGGTTGGAAAAAATGACAAAGAAGCATATAGATTTGAAACCGGAGCTTTTCTTATTGGGAATCTTACCAGATGTTTATAGTAAAGATTTGAAATATTTGATTGTAAATATATTAACTACGGCTAGGATTGTATTTGCAAAAAATTGGAAAAATGAGAAAATTCCATTGCAGGAAGAAGTTATTAAGAAAATATTGGAATGTGCTGAGATGAGTAGATTGACTTTTGAAATTAGAGAGCAAGAAGATAAACAATTTTATATAATTTGGGATTTTTTCTATCAATGGCTGAATGATGAAATACAAAAATAGAATATTTAGAATGTTAGACAATAAGGAATAATATTGATTTCACTTTTCTTTTTTCTTTTGGTATTTGATATTATATTTATAAAATGTTTTTTCTTTTTTTTTTCTTTTATTTAGGATAGAATTGGTAGGATTATATGATTTGTTATAGAATAAATTACTTAAATTATAGTTAACTCATAAGGCATGATTGAATAAAAGTATAGTCAAATCTTTTTTTCTTTAATAATGATATGAGGATATATAAGTTTGGATTGATAATAAGAGTTATTATGTAAGGTAATTGTAATTGTGACTACGAAATGAATGCACAAAACTGATGAACCAACCGACTCACTGTTTGTACATAAATACGGATGAGAGCTGATGTTTTTATGTTTTGTCTGTCTGTTTGTTTGTTAAAAAAACAATAAAATTGTTTTCAAAACAAAAAAAAATGATTAGGGGGCTAAAACATGAAGAATGGTTGATTTTATATGATTTTTAAAAAGCTTAATGATCTTCTCTGCCCCAATGAAATTGCAGTTAACTTTCTCCACAGGGAAGATTGCATCACCTAATCCTATGTATGTTATTCATTGACAATACTTTGTGGGCTGAATTCTTGCTCTGTTGAGCAAAACTGGATATTTATATAGCAAGGTGAATATACATGTCCCAGGATAATGTTGCAGGATCCAAGAATTTCAGAAATAGAAGATAAAATATCTAATGTTGATTTCTTTCCTTATTATTATTTCAACTTCACTGCTTTCTTTTCAAGTAGCTCCACCCATTTCTTCAAGGCACGTCTTTCAACAACTCAGCAGGAGAGGGAGTGTCCTTTAATGAGAAGAGGGAAGTTGCAGGAGGGTTTGATATCATCAACATAATCGTTTTTCCAAACAAGTCCATCCGGAGTGTGAAAGTTGGAAGACTAGATCCCGATGACTCTTTTGGAAATGAATTGATCATTAATGAATATCAGATTGAATGGCACAGAGGTTTTAATCAGGTAGGGGCCCATTGGTGGGATACAAATAATGGGTGGGCATTGCTGGGTGGGCATGGGTGGGCGGGTGTTTGCATTATAATGCAAAATCCTCAATTCCACCCCATCCCAGAGCAAAAATAATGCAAAATCCTCACTTCCATCCCATTTCAGAACCACCACCATTCCTTCACTAATCTGCTTTCCAGTTCTGTTCTCCTGCATGCAGGGAAACAAAAGAAGAATTCAGTCAGATCTTCCAACTTCTTGGGGGAAAAAGGTCTTGTGAAGTTGTAAGGTCTGATTGAACTGTCTGATCAGCTTCCCAGTGGTTCGGTGCTGCTAGTCTATTGCTGCCTCCCAGCTGATCAGCGCAGCTCCCAGTCATGCCCTTGCAACTCCCCCATCCTGAATGGCAACCCCGGTGGAAAGGGAAGGGGCAACCATTGGTGGAAACAACTAGTTTGCTGAACTATGCAAAAAATTAACAACAGCTTTGGCAGAACCGGCATGAATCCCACCACTATAAAGACCTACATATACATTGAATGCTTATAGTTTTACAGCTTCCTTAAATGGAAAAAATTAAAATGCCTCCAACTGTTCCATGCTGACCATGATTTTTGTTATATCTATCTATCTATCTATCTATCTATCTATCTATCTATCTATCTATCTATCTATCTATCTCACTCATTCACACACACACACACATACACACACACACACACACTATTTTCAGTTGATGAAAAGGCTTAACAACTTGGCAACTATTTCTGCAATCTATTTTTCATTTTATGAGCAGGTTCTTCCAGTTTCTCTGTGTAATGAATATTGTCACCCTGGATATTGGAAGAGAAAATCTGAAGAGAAAAGTTTCTGCTGCTATGACTGTGTTGCATGTCCACAGGGAAAGATTTCAACTGAGATAGGTCAGTTTTGAAGTCCTACAAATTATGAAAATATTGGGCTGCAAAAAGTTGTTTTCTCAAAAGTTATAATTTGTCATGGATATTTATGTCAAGTACGTGGAAAATCAGGGGATTCAGGGAGTTCAAATGAGAATAAAGATGTATTGTAAGTTTAAGCTCTCTACAAGAATCTGAACAACTAATGGTCAAGTGACAAGAAACAACAGATAGTGTGAAAGAAATCAAGGAGAGATCCAACCTAGATTTAAGGACACATTTCCTAACAAAACAATTAACCAGTAGAATCACTTACCTCCAGAAGTTGTGGGTTCCAAGAAGAGGGCAGCTGTGGAGGTTTTGGAGCACCCACAAAAGTGATTAGATAACCAGTTGCCTGAAATGGTATAAGTTCTCCTGCTTGAGAAAGGTGTTGGACTAGAAAACCTCTAAGGTCCCTTCCAATTCTGCTATTCTGTTTATATAAGTATGCAAAAAACTAATCGCAGAATCAATATCAATGTTCAAGAAATAGTATAAAATAATCATTGAAATGTGGTAAATAGGACATCAATGAGTTTCCATTTGATTTTTTTTAATCCAGACACAGAAGATTGTTTCAAATGTCCTGAGGATCAGTATCCAAGCAAAGTGCAAGATCGATGCCTTAACAAAACAATGAGTTTCCTGTCCTTTGAAGAACCTTTAGGAATCAGTCTGGCCTCAGCTGCTGTTTCCTTTTCCTTCATGACAGTCAGTGTGCTTGGAATTTTCCTTAAGCGTAGAGATACTCCCATTGCCAAGGCCAATAACCAGGACCTCACTTACATTCTCCTTATTGCACTCTTACTGTGCTTTCTCTCTTCCTTGTTATTCCTTGGTCAGCCAGGGAAAGTAACCTGCCTTTTCCGGCAACCAGCATTCAGCATCATCTTCTCCGTTGCTGTTTCATGTGTGTTAGCTAAAACTATTACGGTGGTTGTAGCTTTCATGGCTACTAAACCAGGTTCTTCAATGAGAAAATGGGTGGGAAAAAGATTGGCTCTTTCCATTGTCTTTTCTTGTTCTTTTCTTCAAGCAGTTCTTTGCATTATATGGTTGGCAACATCTCCTCCTTATCCTGAGTTAAATATGCAGTTCCTGATGGAAACTATGATTCTGCAATGCAATGAAGGTTCCATCTTCATGTTCTATTGTGTGCTGGGCTATCTGGGCTTCTTGGCCATCGCCAGCTTTGTTGTGGCTTTTCTTGCCCGTAATTTACCTGATAGCTTTAATGAAGCCAAGTTCATCACCTTCAGCATGTTGGCTTTCTGCAGTGTGTGGATCTCTTTTGTTCCAACCTATCTGAGCACCAGAGGAAAAGCCATGGTATCTGTGGAGATCTTCTCCATCTTATCGTCCAGTGCTGGATTATTGGGATGCATCTTCTTCCCCAAATGCTTCATCATTGTGTTGAGGCCAGAACTAAATAGCAGGCACCGACTAATCAAACGAAACAATTAAATTATATTTACATCATTATTTATGAAGAAAAAGGGAAGGATTTAGCAAAGAAAAATTAAAGACTGTCCCTTTTCAATCTTCCTTCCAACTTTCAAAGCCAACATTTGTGTTATATAGTTATAATCTCTCCTCCATTTCCTAAATTAGGTTTGTCCTCAGTTACTGAAGAAGTGATTCAACAATGTAATGAAGATCATTCCAAAGGTCCTTTTTAACGAAGCAATTGGACTGGACTTTCTGGTTTTTCTTTGAAGACATTTTGCTTCTGAAGAAAAATTGAAGAAGAAGCTAAATAAGTTTCTTGGATGAGAAGCGAAATATCTTCAAAGAAAAAATAAATAATTCAGGAAGTCCAGTTGCCTTTTGAAAAAGCACATTTTGGACAAAAATGACAGGCCCCCAGTGCCTCTGCCAGCAAAAACAGAGCTTGGGAGGGTTGCACATCGCTCTTCTGAGCTCCATTTTCAGTGGCAGGGGGTTGCTGGAGGTTGTGGCAGCTGAAAACAGAGCGTGGGATCCCATTTTCAATGGTAGAGAGCTCTGACCACCACAGGCACCCCCGACCTGAATAATTTCAAGCTGGCCACACCCACCTTGGCCCTCCAAGTCAAATAAAACCTGATGCAGCCTTCAAAGAAATTGAGTTTGACACCCCTGCCATAGACAGTTTTAAAGTTTTACTTTGTCCTGTCTATATAGGCCACATAGCTTTCACAAGGTTTATCATGACTTCATCGGCCTGTAAAATACCTGCAAGCTTCAATGAAGCTAAGTTCATCCCCTTTAACATGTTGGTCTTTTGCAGTAAGCATTTCCTCTATGCCAATCTTTGTGAGCACAACCAGAGCCTATGTGAGCAGAACCACAAAATATGGTGGCTGTGGAGATCTTTTTCACCTTGACCTCCAGGGCTGATTTATTTGTGTGTGTCTTTTTCCTTTAAATGCTTCCTCACTCTGCTGAGACTTGAAGTAAACAAGGTGTAATTAATAAAAATAATGATTAAATAATGCATTTTTCTCTGTGTATTGCCAGGTTCGAATATCATATGCTAGCCACGTAGAGTAATTGTGCCTTTAGTTCAGGTCATTATAGAATGGAGAATGTATACATGTCATAACATTTCTGCAATATTAAACATAGACCTTCTTGCTATCTTATTTTATCTCCATGCTATCAAATAATTTTTTAATAAAAACATAAATTGTTGTTTCTTATTATTTCTTACCCCCAAATTTACTTTCTGCAGTGTCTTCTAATGTCTTTGAAGAGGACAAGTGATGCTTTTACCTTGTAAACAGTTGTGTGCAAACATTTGTCAAAAACTTCAAGGTTAAAGTATCCCTCAGATATCTTTCTGGAAGTGGTCAAAATCCTGAGTTTATTTTTGAAGTCCTGCAACTTTTTTCCATTGGTTTATAAATGAAAAAATAAAATCAGCAATAAAATTTATTTATTTATCAAACTTCTGAGACCATCTCACTCCAGGTGATTTTCTCAATGATGTACAAGTAAAAAACATAAAACACTTTATTGAATTTAATAATGTAAAAAATGCATTAAACATTTGATTAAAAGTTTGGAACTTGCCATATCATGGCTGATAATAGAATAGAATAGAATAGAGTAGAGTAGAGTAGAGTAGAGTAGAGTAGAGTAGAGTAGAATAGAGTAGAATAGAAAACAGAGCTGGAAAGGACCTTGGAGGTCTTCTAGTCCAACCTCCTGCTGCTTAGGCAAACCTACACCACGTCACACAAATGGTTATCTAATCTCTTCTTAAAAACTTCCAATGTTGGAGCATTTACAGCTTCTGGAGGCAAATTGTTCCATTGATTAATTGTTCAAACTGTCAGGAAATTTCTCCTTAGTTTTCAGTTGCTTCTCTCTTTGATTAGTTTCCACCCTTTGCTTCTTGTCTTGCCTTCAGGTGCTTTGGAGTATAGTTTGACTCCCTCTTCTTTGTGGAAACCCCTGAGATATTGGAACCCTGCTATCATGTTACCCCTAGTCCTTCTTTTCCTCAGGCTAGACATACCCAGTTCGAGCAACCGTTCTTTATAGATTTTAGCCTCTGGTCCAGAAATTACCTTCAGCAGGTTCTGACCAGTTCTGACCAGAACTGGTAGTGGAAATTTTGAGTAGTTTGGAGAACCAGAAAATATACTTCTCACTGGCCCCACCCCAATCTATTCTCTGCCTCCTGAGTCCCAGCTAATTGGCTGGGTCTTCTTTTGTTGTCCTGCACAGGAGAACAGAGCTGGAAAGCAGGTTAGTGGGGTGGGGTGGGAATGGAGATTTTATAGTATCTTTCTCCTTCCATGCCCAACAAACCACACCCACAGAACCTCCTAACATGGGTCTGTCATGAAGAGCAAGTGGAAGTATTGCTAGGAGGGCCTTTGCACAAGTTATTGTGCTGTGTATTATTTGAGCCCCTTCCTAGATTGGGAATCATTGCTCATGGTCACTAAAGCCCTAGTCAAACTCCCAAGTGGGCTATATGGGGCTGTCTTTGAAGAGTTTTCAGAAGCTTCACCAGGTGTACAATGCAATGGTGTGGATAGTTATGTGTGCTTCCAGAATGATGCACATTACATCTCTGTTCTGTGAGTTCCATTGGTTGCCAGTTGGCTGATGGATCCAATTCAATGTGCTGGTTTTGAACTTTTATGGTATAAGACTGGGTTATTTATGGGAACATAGCCACCTGAGTTTGTCTGACCATCCCATAAGTTTTGGAAGAAATCATCTATGTGTCTTGACTGTTTGAGTGGGGGGTGACAAGTGTCTGAATGGTTAAGATGCTGGGCTTGTCAGCTGGAAAGCCAGCAGCCCAAGTTCAAGACCCCAGCTCCATGTGACCAGGTGAGCTTCTGTCCTCACCTAGCCCCTGCTAACTTAGCAGTTCAAAGCATACAAATGCAAGTAGATAAATAGGTATCTCTTCTTTTACCTCTTTTACCTGTTTTAACGTAAGAGGAAGGTCTTTTCTGGTGTGGTGTCAGTCAGTCTTTTCTGGTATGGCATTTTGTCAGCATGCCAGGCTTCTAGAAATTCCAGAAATATCATTTTTGGACATGGCTTGATCTAGGATGGTCACAATTTCTCAATTGAAACTAAGACTAAGTCTGGGCATATGTTGTGAAATTAAAAAAATATTTATTATGTCTTTTTTTTGGTAAATGTTATTTGAGTTTTCACAAGGAGAAAAAAAATACAAATAAAACATCTTTTTTGAAAGCAGTATAATCCCAGGTTACATTTCTTCGTACAGACACAAATTCAGGTTCATGCTCATTTTTATATTCTATTCCATATCTTATTACTATTTTACATGTTCTGCATAGCTTCTCCCCTCTTTTAATTTTCTCAATTTTATTTTAATTATCTCATCTTGATTCAAATCATTGTATTTATATTTTTTGTCTGTCCTGTTTCAATTATCTATTATCTTTTCTCATTAAACAAAATTTCTCCTGTAGTTACTGATTGGAGTATGACGTCTTTATATCTTTTCCCTAAAGTTGTAACATTCAATATAATACATAACTGCCATTCGGATTCTGCTTGGTACATTCTTAAAATACACACTGTATTCTTAAAAAAGGGAAAAAATATAAATGTTTATAATTAAAACAACATTCCATTCCAATTCAATTCTATCATTAATATTAATATTCATTAAAGTCTTAACATCTTTAACATTACTTTTCAATTAAATATTATACTTCTATGGGAACAATTATAAGCTTTCCATAGTTAATTCCTCCCCCCTTCACTTATATTTTATAAAACATTAACTAATTAAAATGTTCCCGTTCCTTCCTAGTTCAATTTTCTCATTTATTTTATTTCACTTATTCACAAACATTTCACTAAATTACACTAACTATTTTATCCCTCATTTTAATCATATGTTGTTTCCAATTTTCTAAAGTTATTTCTATTACTAATATAACAATACAATCTTATGTACCTTTACAGAATCCCTTTTTCAGTTAGATTTTCACCCATTATCTCCAAATAGGTCATGTTTCTCTATATCTTGCTCTGGTCCTTTGTAACTTCTTTTCCTTTCCTTCTTCCCTCTCTTCTTCTCTCTCCCCCTTTTACCCCCTTGTCTCTCTACCTCTATTTCTCTCTTCTGTATTCCCCTTTTCTGTTGCTTTCCAGTATTATACTTATTTTTCAAATTATTTTTCTTTTCTTTGGTTGTTTTTTTAAGTCTTAAATTCTCCATTCTCTTTCTCCCCTTTCCTTTTTCTTCCCCACCTAGAATTACTTGTTCATTAAAGATAGCTTCTTCTTTGTCCCAGTCTTCTTGTTTTGTAGTCTTTTCTTGTTGTTTCTCATAGTTCCAAATCTCCATTTCTAAGAATTGAAAAACGAAGCCAAAAGAACCCCCCCACCTTCTTGTGGATCTTCTTTGTACCTTTTAAGTTCCATTTTCAATTCATCCAGAAGTGGTGCCATTGTATAAATTTTTAAACAACCACCCGATTGATTTTAGTCATTCAAATATAATAACCAAAAATCCAAAGATCACCAAATAATCCAAATACACGCAAGCTGTTCCTTTTTTGCTCTTTTTTTTTTCACTTTCTCTTCCTGGGGTTACTATTTAGTTGCAAAGTTTCAGTTAAAATGTATCTTTTAGAAGTCTTGTTGAAGTTTTACTTTAGATTCTTTTTAATTCCAGGCAGTCTCCTCCCTCTTCCAGATCCTGCCCTTATTCTTTTTCTCTCCCTTCCTACTTATGAAAAAAAAGTTTTTATTGTCCAGAAATCTTTATTATCCCTTTGGCATTTTGTTTTATTTTCAGCTTAATTGCCTATTGATGTCAAAGTGGATTTTTCTGATTTCTTATTTAAGTCTCTTAGTTGTCAGTATAGGGAAGGAGAGAGAAGAAAAAAAAAAAGCCAAACCTTCCCCTTTTCACTTTCCTTTGCTGCTTCCAACTCTTCTTTGGGAGCGATGTTATTTTTTGTAAGTTTAAATTCAAGGGTACCTTGGTTGTTGTTTTACAATTTAACCCGGTCAGCCAAAACTTTCACTTCTTATCTTCCTCCTGCACATTCTTTTCTGGTCGAGTTCTTCTTTGTGGTGGTCATTTCTGACTACCGCTGCAACTGCCATCAGGAAAGCGAGTAATGGCCAGCTGAGGAGGAGAGATGCAGCTCTCCTCAACCCTGCTGGTGGTCTCCCCTCTCTTCACCACCTCTATGGGTTGCTTAGCCCCAAAACCAGCCAGCTTGGGGGGCTCCAGCAGCGAGCCCAGAAAGAAACCGCACACGATTGCAGATTTCTGTCTGTCGCCGAAGCCTTTGAAACCGGAACTCCAGTATTTAATATGTCTTCTGACTGCTAGTTAATGTTCATGGATGCATTCTGTCAGTCTTATACCTATTTATTCTTTGTAGTGGTTGTTGAAATCCTTACACTATATGTTGTAAATGACTCCTGTTTTTTTTTAAATTTCTGGAGTTGAAAGATCTTTTGGTTTGCTTAGGATGTTTTGAAGGGCTTTAGTTGGCTTGTGTGCTATACTCATTCCATATTGTTCCAGTAGTCTGTTGGTAGTTTCTGAGGTATTATTGATGAATGGCAAAGCTATTCTGTATTGGGTCAGGCACTTTTTGACAAAGTGTTAACTTTTTATTATTCAAGTTTGGCAGGCTGGACATCATACTTATCTTTTCACTTTTACTTAACTTTTCTTTTTCTTTGTACACATTTAATGGTATTATTGGAAAAATGAGAATGGGGAATATTGATATATTCAAAATTCTGTGCTTTTTTATAGTTTTGGTTCTTAGCCTAATAGCATTAGCAATAGCAGTTAAACTTATAAACCATTTCACAGTGCTTTTATAGCCCTCTCTAAGCAGTTTACAGAGTCAGCATATTGCCCCCAACAATCTGGGTCCTCATTTTACCAATGCTGGAAGGTTGGAAGTCTGAGTCAACTTTAAGCCTGGTGAGGTTCAAATTGCCAAATTGCAGGCAGCCAGCAATCAGCGGAAGTAGCCTGGAGGACTGCACTCTAACCACTGTGCCACCACGGCTCAATGTTGGCAATTGGATTCCAAATAACAGGTAGAAATTAAATGTGGATTGATTTCAATAAAGTGTATACACTGGTTTATCCTCAGATCATGTATTTAAATAAATCTAATTAAAATGGCTTCTGCTTCTTTTGAGTAGAAGAATGCTGTACACTAAGAATCATATTTAACTGCATACATTTAAAATTTGGTTAAAATTAAATAATTCTGTATATATTATTAGAGCCTCGGTGGTGCAGTGGTTAGAGTGCAGTACTGCAGGCCACTTCTGCTGCCAGCAATTTGGCAGTTCAAATCCCACTAGGCTCAAGGTTGACTCAGCCTTCCATCCTTCCAAGGTGGGTAAAATGAGGACTCAGATTGTTGGGGGCAATAGGCTGACTCTGTAAATCCACTTAGAGAAGGCTGTAAAGGACTATAAAGTGGTATTGCTATTTGGATACTCATATTCTTCATTTGGAATAGAATATGATATTTTCATTATTTAATTTCTTTTTATTAATTAATTGCTCCTTGTTGTTCAGTTCTGGCCTCAGCAAAATGATGAAACATTTTGGGAAGAAGATAAATCCGAGTAAGGCTGCACTGGAGGACAAGATGGAGAAGATCTCCACAGCTACCATGGCTTTCCCTGTAGTGCTTAGGAAGGTTGGCACAAAGGAGACCCAGACACTGCAAAAAGCCAACATACTGAAAGTAATAAATTTGGTTTCATTAAAACTGTCAGGTAAATTACGGGCAAGGAATGCCACAATGAAACTTGCTATAGCCAAGAAACCAAGGTAGCCCAGGACACAATAGAACATGAGGATGGATCCTTCATTGCATTGCAAAATTATGGTTTCTCTAAGAGAGTGCATGTCTAACTCAAAGAATGGATAAGAGGTTGACAGCCACACAATACAAATGTTGACTTGGAAAAAAGAGCATGAAAAAACAATGAAAAGGGCCAATCTTTTTCCTACCCATTTCCTCATCTTGGTTCCTGGCTTGTTGGCCATGAAAGCCATGACCACAGTGATGGTTTTGGCCAAGACACAAGAAATAGACACTGAGAAGATGATACCAAAAGTTGGTTGTCTGAGAAGACAAATTACTTTCTTGGGTTTGCTAAGGAATAAAATGGAAGAGAGAAAGCAAAGCAAAAGAGACACAAGGAAAGTGTAGGTGATGTCTCGGTTGTTGGCTTTAACTATGGGAGTATCCTTGTACTTAATGAAAGTTCCAAGTATCCAGATTGTTATCAAGCAAAACAAAACAGCAACTGATGTCAAAATGATTCCTAAAGGTTCTTCATAGGATAGGAAACTTGTTTTTTTGACAATGCAATGATCTTGCTCCTTACTTGGATACTGATCTTCACAACATTCAAAACAATATTCCATTTCTAGATTAAAAGTAAAAAAGAAAATTCCATCATTGATGAACAAACTATACTATCATTGATTCTTTTTCTGAATTAAATCTACCCCTACACTGCAACAACAAACTGAAATATAATATTTACTAAACAACATTATGTGGGACAAAATGAGCAAGGGGATGTTAAAGACAGTCTTTGAAACATAGACTTCTGAGATTTCAAAATTTTGACAGGACTCTGACAATTGATAAAATAAGAAATTGGCAGATAGAAATGGAGGATACTTTGAATTGTCTACTTCCAGAAGTTAGAGTAAAACATGGAATATGGGGGAAGAGGTAACTTTTCAAGATTTTGACCTGTTCGTTTTCTAGCGTCTCCTCATTTCAGATGCAAAATTATCATTTTTGTAAACTCACTGAGGATCTTCATCTCTGAATTATAAGCTAGGTGGAAGTGTTCCTCTAAATATTGGGCTCAAACCAAGTTCATAAGAAATTCCCTTAAGAATGCAGAATTTCAGATTAACATAAACTTTATATATTTTTGAGTTCATTTGTTGGTGAAATTCCCATGGTTCCCTGGACTTAATCTAAGGAAATATATACTTAGCAACATTCCAAACATTCTAGGAGAAGGAGTGGCAGAACAGGGGCAGAGTCAAAACAGGGATCAGTCTAGAATCTCTATGTAGTCACAAGTGGCCTAAGTCCAACTCCCCTTGAAACCCATGAATGCTTATATAACTCCAAGCAAGTGCTAACCATTAGTTGAGAAGATTTGTTGACATAATCCGATTGACAATAAATCAGTTTAATTGAACCACCATGCATGTAGGAGATGGCCAAGCTGACCCTGAGGAGGATCAATTGATGAGTCCATGCCTGCAAGAGATTCAAGTTCAGCCCACCTTGAATGCCTCTCTTATCTCCTGCTCATTTCCCTTGACCGTGAGTTGGTCAGATTCTTGTAGAGAGCTTAAATTTGGAATAAATCTTTTTAATCGTAAGAACTGCTTGAATCTCCTGATTTCCCCAGCTCTTGACAGGAGCTGGTCTTTCACACCTCACAGTTATATACCCATCATAGCAATTCCTTAGGTCTGAGAGAAACATTTCTTTTAAGCCAATATCATAATCAGAACTAACCCATCTTATCTGAAATCTTTTCTTTGGGACATGGGACACAGTAATAACAGCAGAACTGTTTTCCTTCTATTCTTCTCTTCCAAGATCCCGGGTAACAGTACTCATTACATAATGAAATAGGAAGAATCTGCCCACAAGACAAAAGAGAGCTCACATGAG